GCATACAGCTGGGAATGGAAAAGAATAGTTAAGCTGGAGCCCACCAAACGCAAAGTAGTATATAATTAATGAAGGTGAAATGAAGGGTCATAAGTGCAGAGTTTGGAATCTGAATGGCGCAGGTCTGAATACACACTCTGTCACTAGCTGTGTGACCTTGGGCAAGTTACTTAACTTCTCTCAGCCTCCGGTTCCACATATCTAAGCAGAACGTACCTCACAGGGTTGTGTAGCTACTAAATGATTCAATTAAATGACACACAGTAAGTGGTAACATTAAAGAAAGCAAGGGAAAGAGGGAGGGAGAGTGGAAAGAAGACAAGAAGGAAGAACAGAAGGAAGGAAAGATTTTTTTTTTAAAGCCTGGGCTAGATCATAGAAAGCTTTGCAGAATTTGATTCCCTTAATATAACTAAGAGATAAAAGAAAATTAAAAAGCAGAAATTGTGTTATACTGGAAAGATGGCTTACTAGAAGAGAAAAAAATATATCCATAGTAAGTAATGCTAAAATGTTCTACAACACCACAGCAACTTGCTTTTACAATACGAACTATGTTTACCGACGCTTCTAAACTAATGAAAATTGTGGGTAATTGCGTCTTCTGTCTATTTTAGCTACATTCCTCTTTTACTGAGTATTAGCAAAACCTATTTTTGACTTCTCAGCAAGTGTTTACGATGGACCTGAAGACTGTAATGCTAAGCATGCTTCCCAGGAACCACGCTTCCTGATCCTGGGCCAAAGGAAAACACAAAAGCAGGGGCACTCCCACCCCATGGGCTTAGGTGCTATACCTGTGAGCAAAGCAGCCTGGCCTGGGCAGGCAGTCTAATCCACCGGTCAGCCCCACATTGGTAATGGCCCCCATCACGTCACAACATGCCACTTCCTGGTGCCACGGGGCCATGGCGGAAGGTATAGCAGGGCTTGCCTTTGCTTTTCCACCCTGTATCTGTCCTGATAACCTCAGCAGAGTAGGCCTGATTGTGTAAGGCTGGTCGCCCCCAAAACTGAGCTTCCTCTCTGAGATTCCTCCTTCTCCAGTTGGTAAGAGAATACACATGGTGTTTGGGGTGAAACACTCAACTACAGACCACCAAGGGATTATCATATGTTATTGTACATAAAAGGCTGTTCCTCAATGTAGGCTCTTCTTGAATTTCCATTTGAAAAGACGAATACCAACAATGTTTGGTATATACTAACATTGATAAAAGTAATCATAATGGCCCACAAATACCAAGCAGCAGCACTGTCCTGGATAATGGGCCAAGCAATCCACATCCATGACTTCATCGGACCCTCACAACAACCCTGTAGGAAGAGGTAGTTACTCTCATTTTAAAGGCCAAGAAACAGAGGTTAAAGAACTTGCAAAAGACAGAAATGGGACGGGAAGCAAGATCTGCCCAACTTCCTGACCCATGCTTTCACCTTTAGGGGACTCTGCACCTAGTAGCACATCAGTATTACGGGGGGGGGGTGTTCTCAAATAATAGATTTCTGGGCCTCACACAGATTTACAGAATCAAGCCTTTTATAAGCTTCTTTCTAGTCACACCCATGGCTAAGGACCAGCATACCTCAATACTAGTCAAAGTGAACACAAAGAGAACAGCATTACTCAACTAACTGAAGGTATTCGGGGGGCTTTGGTGTGACCAGAGTTTTTAACTATTCCAAAGTATTCAAGAGCCAGAATTATTCTGACCTGACAGTAATCCCTGCAGGGTGAGGAACAATCGACAAATATTGGGCTGGGTGATACAATGAGGCTGAGGGAGGAAGTATTCATTTGCAGCAGGGAGCTGGGACTGGAACCGTTCCTCACTGGAGCAGTGAAGGTGGAATGCAGTGTGAACGGGCCCACTCCTCCTCCTATGCCTGGCCCTTAGTAGACACCTCATAAATATTTGTTAAATGGACAAACGAGTGAAAGACTGACTCCCTCCAGGTGGAAGTAATTTCACTCTCCTCTAAATTCCTTGCATTTGATCTGTATCTTTTTTACCTTCTTTACCACATTCTGCTTTGCATTCCACTGTTTGAAACCTGGCTCATCTCTACCAGAAGGTAAGCGTTCAGGGGCAAACTCCCACCTCTTTCTGAGCAATGCCTCCCACTCTGCCACACACAGCACGCACAGGCCACAGCAGCGACCCCTAGCAGGGACCCTCCATGCCAAATGAGTATCTGGCTGGAGTCCATATGAGACCTGCCTCACAGATGTGGGTCCTGGCTATTCTCAAGGCCACGCCTACCAACCTTCCAACACTTGGCCTCATTGCGGGCTCCTGGGACACAGTGGCAGAGAGACCTCTGTATGGAAATCATAATGGAATTTGGTAGACCTTGTTGGAGGGCAGGTTTCAGGAAGACCACGGCTCTGGGAGATAGAATCCTGAATATGAAATACTTAAAAAACAAACCAGGTTATAGCAACAAAGAAAAGGTGCTTTTCTTTAGTTTTGTTCTCCTGGTGTACTCTGCAGAAACTATTTCCTAAAATTACAACCATAGTTAGGAACACCCTGAAATATCAGACAGTGACACAGACTCAGGAATGAACTCTTCCCACTCAGCCCTGGCCAGAGCACCTGAGACAGTCAATCTGAAAGATAAGAGCAGACCAACTTCTCTTCACTCACTACCTCCTCCCCCTTACCACTTCAGCTCTTTATCGCGCTTTTATTGGGATGCTACACCTTGCATGGTGTCTGGGTGGCCCCCTGATGCCTTGTGCTGTGCTGCTTTTGCTGTTTGAACTCCCATCACCCCACCTGATCCTCACATCATGTTATGGGCAAAAAGCAAACGCTGTCAACCCCATTTCCTGGATGAGATAAATGAGTCTCAAGTTCTATGATATGCCTAACAGCACAAGCAAGTTGTTGAACGCCCACTAGAGACTTAATTGTCTTAATTGAAGTGAACAAGGAAATGGAGGAAGGCATGAATCTCTCTAGTTGGAAATAATCTCATTGTAAATGTCCCAGAATTTGATCTTACTTTGCTTACAAATCCCTTTGCTCTGCATCACACAAACCCAAAACTATTGTTTTTTTAAGTAGACTCCATGCCCAGTGTGGAGCCCCACACAGGGCTCGAACTCAGGACCTCAGGATGGTGAGATCAGGACCTGAGCCGGTATCAAGAGTTGGACACTGAACTGAATGAGCCACCCAGGTGCCCCACAAACCCAAAAGAGTTTATGTGCTTCCTAGGGAGTCAAAGTGATGGCATGGTTGGGTAGGTCCCAAGAAGAAGATGATGGGACTAAAATGTTTAATAACAGCTGCAGAGTCTAGTCTGCACACTTCCATAACAGGTAATGGGCTCCTACAGATAGATGAACGGGGGTTTGGTTCCTGAGAAACTCAACCTTATGGGGATGACAGCCAGGTAAAGGTACACGGCAAGAGCGGAAGGCAGAAGCACTGTAAGGAGGGGTTAAGACGCAACATGCTGATGGCGTACGGGGCTCTCTCATCTCAAAAGTCAAAAGGTAATTTATACCAACTAAAACAAAAAGCAAAAAACGTCCTTCTGATTAGTTTATCCATTATAAGAAAAGGCATTTTTGAGGAGGAAAAATAGGCCAATGACTCAAAGTGAAGCTACAGTATTGTTTTGAAATTGTCTTGGGAAACTGGCAAAAGAAAACCCACCCAGGGCGGGACTGTGTCCAGGGGCTCCGCGGCTGCATCGCCCGGAGTCTGGGGCTGTACAGGGCCAGCGATTGGGGGTGGGGTCCAGTGACTATCCAGGGAACAGTAGTGACACGTAATTTTCAGAAAAAGGGACTAAGTCCACCCAGTCACTGCTAACAACTTGATAGGCTTCCCGAAGAAATAAGATAAAGCCAGGAGACCGTGGCGCAGGAGCGAATATTTCTCTGGGATAACGCAGGACCAGAAGACCTGGCTGACACAGACACACCCTTTGTTAATCTCAAAGAGTTGAAAGTCTAACTAAACACCCGTTGAAGATTTGGGTTGCCTTGACTGGGTCAGCTGGTTTCTCTTACGCTTGCAACTTTCTTCAACAGTTCTTTTTTGGAAAAAATGCGTTAGTAGAAAAAGGAAGGGGGAATGAGACTGAAGTGAGGCTGCCCGGAAAGTTCGGGAAAGGCCCCGGGCTGGGGGAAAAGCGCTGACGGGGACTGGAAGTGCCTCTAAGGTCAACGCGCACATCTAACGCGCGCATCTACACCGACCAGAGAGCGAGCAGCAGTCTGCAGGCGGGAGCCTAGTTTGGGAAGCCGAGTTGCGGGATGGGCTCGATTTCCCCAGCGAAGAAAGCGAGGCGGTTCCTGGGCAAGAACTGGCCCGGGGATGCCGCAAAGTCCCCATCCGCCCGAGTCGGGGGGTGTAGATGCGGCTCCAGCGCATACCCGCGAAGCCCCTGCTTCGGGGAACTACGGCGGCAGCGGGTCCCGAGTCCCGCGGGCGGCCCCGGGTCTGCTGAGCCCAGGGTGGAGGCGCCCGCGTCCGGAGCCCCGCAGTCCGCGGCCCCTTCCCCCCCCAACCC